ATCAATTTTTATCTTTGTATTAAAACAAGATAAAATTAGTATATGGAACTGATCAAATATCAAATGAAAATTTACTTATCTGTTCCAGTTTATATTCCTATCAATTTTTATCTTTGTGTCATAAAACAAGATAAGATTAGTATATGGAACTGATCAAATATCAAATGAAAATTTACTTACCCATTCAGTTTATATCTCCATCAATTTTTACCTTTAGTCATGAAAATAGAATAAGATTAGGACATGGAACTGATCAAATGTCAAACAAAAATCTGCATATCTATTCTAGTTTGTATCTCTATCACTTTTTTATCTTTATGTCATGAAAATGGAATAAGATTAGTACATGAGTATTTGCAAAGCTGATCAAATATTAAATGAACATTTACATATTCAGATTTTGTATCTTTATCAATTTTTTACCTTTATTTCATGAAAATATATCATGAATAATAATTCTATTCCTAATGAAATAGAATTAATAATAGCTACTGTTAAAGAGAGAGAAAATACAAAAAATATAGGAGGGTATCCAAGAAATAAAGTATGAAAGCAGTTTTACGCTGGTCCTAAATGACAAGATGGTCATTTTCTGACTACTTATAAGTGGTGTAATTCAAAATGAGCACGAGATGATCAAGTTCCTATGGAAAGCTATTTGGCCAATTATTGTACCAAGACACCAGCCTCTGTTATTCATGAGTATCTTCAAAAACTCAGTAGTGAAGATTCTGAAATGGTTAAAAAGAAATGTAAGATGATTGGTCAACACTTAATTGAAGACTTTCATGATCTGATTAAAGAGCTTTCAAAAGGATGTATTTCACAAATCAATCATGTACTTGCCAAAGCTTTTATATACGCTGAATTACTATTTTAAGCTATTAAAAATCCATTTTTCATGAACTTCCTCAAAGAGTTAAATTTGACGTACCACTCACCCTCCTGAGATCTTTTGTCAAATCAATTAATTGAAGAGAAATTTTCTAGAATTAATTATAAAGTTGAAAAGAAATTAAATAATTCTGTAAATCTTATACTTGGTAAGAAGTTATATTTATAATTATTATTATCTGTTTAATAATATATTTTTATTTGTATTATAGCTTTTGATG